CGGAGCGAAGCGGGGTCGGAGTGGAGTGGAGGGACCGGAGAGGGGTCGGGTCGGACCGGAGGGGGGTCGGATCGAATATGATCGGATCAGGGCCGAGCGGAGGCGTACGCACCGGCAGCGGCGCGGCGCGCATCTCGCGCAGGTCGATGTTCCGGAAGAAGTCGAGCACGAGCAGCTCCTGCAGCCCGGGGAAGCGGCCGTCCGCCGGCTGGAAGATGAGGTCGAGGATCTGCTGCACGGCCGGGTAGCCCGCCAGGTCCGCCAGCTGCCCCGCCGACGGCCGCGACGCGCACAGCTCGTAGCCCGCGCACATCTCGAACAGCACGTGCCCTGCGACAGGGCAGGCGGTGCGCGGCAAAAATAATCATCACGCTCATCTCTTCCATTGGATATTTGATTTATTAAGGAGACCAGGCGTGCCAACCGTTATTGTCATTAGTCCCGTAAGTGTAGTGCACGTTTCCCTCGAGCGGTGACGGTGACCTTCCCCCTTCCCCCTGACCTTCCGCAGGGTAACGGGGTTTTTCTTTCCCACTACCTCTAAGATTCAGGCGTGTGTGGAAGTCTAGTGCATGTACGTGTATATGTGAGAAAGGAGTGAGGATAGAACTAGAAGAGGAAGGAAAGATCGCGGGCGGTACGTGGCCCGTTTGGTAGGGAACTGCTCCAGCATTCGTGGTCACAGGCTCGGCGGTGATATCTGTTGATGTGCTGAGTCCCCTTTCCCGGTGAATCGTGGTCGCATAAGGTAATTTGTGTGAGAGTTCGATTACGGGAGTCGAGTGGCCTACTCACTTGGACAGTCCAATGAATTTGGTACGGACCATTCTTAAATGTACAAAAGTCAATGAAATGAACAAAAATTGGGACGCCATTTTAAAGTAAAAAGTATGTTAAAATAAAAACGCACGTACTAATGCTCAGGTTTGACTATTATTATTTTTTCCCTGCTCACAACATAAGATTAATTAATACTGAATTATCGATCTCAATATCAGTCACATCAAATATGAGTTGCACTGTCTCTCAAGTTAGGTTGCCTTAATTAAAAGAATATTTCGAAATAATTTGTAAAAGAAACAACGATAGATTTGGGTGTTTTTATTCGAATTGTTATCTCTTGTTACTAACGATCTAAAAGGAAAATATGGAAGCTTAAAATAAAAACCTGTAATCAATTCTTGTTATACACACGGCATTTCATCACACGTAGAATTTTAAGAAAGAGTTTTCACTGTCATTATTATATTGGTCAGGAAAGAAAGAAAACTCTCCAGAGCAAATAACTTAGGTTTCCTACATTCGCTTTGGATCCAATCCTTTTCATGATTTATGGCTTCTTTCGTCGTACATCACAGTCGCGGGCACTTCTTCTTCAACAGAAAGTTTAACCTCCGGAGAAATACAATCTCGTATGTGGTAAAAAAATATCGCTTTTTTAGTAGGATGTTACGTCTCTCATGGTGGATTGTATTTTCGTTTAATTTAGTTTATCAGAAGATGGTTTTTGTCGAGACCTATCAATCTATATAAAAACCCACTCAATCTCCAACGTGCAAAATACAATAATATCACGTACTTAATATAAAAGTATTTTAGCACGGCCGCCACTCTGAACCATCTCCCTCTATGACTATCCATGATTGTTTTCTGGCTTGATTTCAAAGAGGAATAATTTGCAGTGAGACTCGTCGCACAGAAATTCCTTGTCGTCCATCGAAACAAGGTTTTATTTCACCACCAACAGTCTATTCCGTCGAGACAATTGCAAATAGTTGCATTAAATTGAAACTCTGCATCTTCAAGACTCAAATACACACAAAACCGAAACATAAAACTAGAAAATGAAGCAAACAAAAACAGACGATTTGCTCGGTAAAATGGTGTTTTGCAAGTAGTGAAGGTAATTTATGAACATATGAATGCCGGACTCTGCTCATAACCAACATTTCGCCACAATACTCGGAATACATAAGTGACACATGAACACATGTTTTAAAACTATGTAACATCTTAAATTATTCATTTGGGCGATATAAAGATGTATATCATTCTCCGCATATATTACACAGTAATATTCTCTATTCATGCATTCATTGTTCTCAGCAAAATGATTTATAAGACCATGCAAAATCGAGTAGGAATTTAATCCTGATTGAAGTCCATAAAATATGTTAGAACAGTAGGAGTAAGGGAACGCGAAAGTAATTTGATATTTCGTGACTGGAGACAATTTCCGGGACAGTGAATGGCTTTTACCGCCTGTTGGTGTAACATATCGTTGAATCAATAATAGGTTACTGCCCACCTTTTACTGTTTCATTTTTAACTTGTCTCTCAAAAAGTTTTGGTAATATAAAAAAATGGATCTTGTAACTAAGTTATAAAAGGTTATTTTCAAGAATTCAACAAGCTTAATTTCTTTTGGTCGGATGATATATACGGTTAAGATTTTTCTTAGTTTAGTTTAAGTCGAGTTATCACACACAAAAAGAAACACCAATTTAAGAACGGTTTTACCTGTACTTCACTCACCAGTCATCATAAAAATATGAAAAAATGCAAACTGTGCTTACAATTAGATAAAAATAGCTAACATATCTATATGAATACATCTAATTATTGTGAAATACGAAGTTAGAAGTTACATTCCCTTTTTATCATATGACTTAATATTATACATATATATGTTATTTATACACCTGTATAAACAAAGTGGTTGTTTATAATTTTATCTCCCTGTTGATTGTTAGGAACATACATCCCAAGTGTCAAGAAAGTAACTTATAATGTTAATTAAAATGCAAAAGGAAGAGAAAACAAAGAATTTATGCGTAAAAAAAATGTTCCTACACGAAGAAAATATTCGATTTCTAAATGAATATTATTTAACAATTTACAATGGAATTATTAAAGAAGTATGCTGTGTACTGTATAATATGGCCAGGGATTACGTCAGACCGTTCTCAAAATTAAATTATAATAATTTCCTTCTGGTTCTACAGCCCCCTTCAGAACAGACTGACTCCGACTACGATTTTAGAAGACAGTTTAGTAGATCTCACGATCATTCATTCCATATCCATACCTTATATTTTCTGGCTGGGCTCAGACAATCAGGCCTTCTCTCCCGCCTATTTCCAGGCAGATTTCACTATGATACTTTTGCCACCTATCAACGAAAGAAGCTATCATTCGGGTGACATAACAGGCGATGAGAACTTAGATCAGAGGTTTCTTTTAAGACTGAGAATCTCTTAACATGCAGAAAATCTATAGCGTTTTACAATACCCGAAAACCAAAGAAAAATGACGTTTACAATGTTATCAAAACTAGTTCGAACGATCAACTATATCAGTTGGATACGTTACTGATGTAAAAGAGGCTTTTCCATTTGTTCAAATGAACGCAGCTTGAAAACCTTTGGTTTTTGACTGCTCAAAATTTTTCTTTAGTTATCCCGAAATCGGCCGATCCGACAATGGCGCACAGGAAGCGTAGATTACGTGAAAACGGCGTAGATTACGGAACAACGGAAGTAAAATTAAAATGGTATTAAAATCAATGAAATCAGCAAAACATTCATTAAAAATGACGGAAAAATGACTTATTAGTCAAAATCAACAAAAATGCAAACAAATGACATGAAAATGGGTCATTCCTTTTGCCACAATGTAAAATTAATTTCTATACTAAACAGCATTGCCTTAAAGTGAAAAAAATATATTTCATTAATATACACCCCCTAGTTATCGCTATTCCTATTGTTCAACACACTCTCATTAAATAGAACGGGAGAAGCTTGGAAAATAGTAACCTACCTTCTCCTCAGAAATCTGTTAGGTGCAGTCCTTTTAACTAGAGAATCTCCGCTGTAGGCCATTAAGATAATAAAGAGCGCTTTCCAGGAGGTCATAAAACTGAAAGTCGCTCGTGTACTGTTTGTCGTGAATTAGAGACAAGAAATGAAACACCAGGGAGGGATAAATTTTACACTCTCAGGGCGTCGAGAATACAACAAACCATGCCAACACTTTTGCAGCAGAGAACCCCGAAAGACAAACATTATCCCGCGTAACTGTAAATCACGGTTAGCGGTAAAAGGACCGGTCGAGAGTGAGTAGAGAGAAAAAAATTAGTGCTCTGAGAAAAACAATAATGGGATTATAGAAATAAAATGAAGAAAGAGAGGAGAGTAAAAAACACTGCTGAGCTAAAAGTGGGTTGAACGCAAATAATAATGAAAAGGTGAAAGGGTCATGACAAGATAGCTAGTTTTTCTTTACATAATTCATATTTCATTTAACAAAATCCTAACATATTTGTATGAGTGAATTGTAAGTCAAACTTTCGACAGACTAAAGTCATTGTGATGCGGGTTCAAGGAATGCATATGCTTGTAACTGTGTATCATCTTCCCGAATTCGAAATTCTAGTTTATGTGCATTTCTTAAAAATTTAAATAAATCTATTTATTTTGAGCTTCCATTTTGAGTGTGGGCGGGGGGGGGGACTTTCATCTGTAACGGGATGCGTGAGTGTAATAGTGCTAAAGACATTGATGGTAAAAAAGGTACACATGAAACCCGAAATACACAAACGTCACAATACCATCATGCATATTCCAAAAATGTTATTTACATGAGCCTTAAAATGACAAATTTGTGTACATAGAAAAAAGAAACCAATTACTACAAGGACTTTTATGGAAGTTCTATTTCATTTTTCAATGGCTCCCTGCCACTTAGTATGGCTAACCTGGAAAATGCATTCTAGTGTGAAGCTGTTTTCACTTCCAAGAGTGCTATTGTTTGGACATTGCTATGGTTTGCGAATATTTGTTCGACATTTCTATTATTTTTTGAGGGGCTTCGCATCATCTGGATACTCAAGCTACTCAAAACTTCTCACCAGGAGAGCTTTTCCACTACCCGCCATTGTAACGTCTATAAACATATTTAATAATAAATAACAAAATAAATAATAATTTTGCCACAGAATAGTTATTCTTTTACAATCCGTAAAATTAATTTCAACACGCAGGATCATCTGAAGAACACTTATTCAGTTCAACCGTTTGACAAGTATTACTAGTCAAAATGTCCAGAGTTTCTGTCAGTGTGACCGGAACTCTCGTCAGTGACTTGAGACCGTGCCAGTAACGTAAGATCATATCAATGTATCCTGCCTCCCTGTCAAAACGTCCTTCGTTCCTGTCAAAATGTCCTTCGTTCCTGTCAAAATGTCCTTCGTTCCTGTCAAAATGTCCTTCGTTCCTGTCAAAATGCCCTTCGTTCCTATCAAAATGTCCTTCGTTTCTGTCAAAATGTCCTTCGGCCCCTTCAAAATGACCTTCGTCCCCGTCAGTGTCCTTCGCCCCTATCAAAGTGTTCTTCGCCCTGTAAAACGTGTCCTGCGATCCAGTCAAATCTTTCTGAGTAACGTGTGGCAGACGCGTCGTGAGCCCCGAGTGCGCGTGTGCGTGTGTGGCGCGTGTGGCGCCAGTGTCCGAGTGTCGTTCGGTCCGGTTAACCTGAAAAGCGTTCTGATAAGGCATCCAGACCCTTCTCAATGAGTCCCTGAAGAAGTGACCCTCCCCCTCCCCAGTGCCCTTCACCCCTGACAAATTGTCATGCGACCCTGTCAAATCTTCCTGAGTGGTGCGCAACACCTCGTGACAGAAGCGTCGCGTCGTGATCCCCGACTGCGCGTGAGCGTGCGCGTGAGCGTGCGCGTGGGCCTGCGCGTGCGCGTGAACGTGCGCGTAAACGTGCGGGTGAGCGTGCGGGTGAGCGTGCGGGTGAGCGTGCGGGTGAGCGTGCGGGTGAGCGTGCGGGTGAGCGTGCGGGTCAGCGTGCGCGTGAGCGTGCGCGTGAGCGAGCGCGTGAGCGTGCGCGTAAACGTGCGCGTGAGCGTGAGCGTTCGGGTGATCTCGCTGGTTCTCCCTCACCGAAGCAGACGACGTCGACGGCGGCCGGATCGGCGCGCGCCAGCCCCCACACGATGGGGTGCACGCGCGACGTGTGGCCCAGCAGCGTGTTCTCGAGGCCCGTGAGGCGCGCCACGCCGTTCTGCAGGATGACATTGCCCGAGTGCAGGTGGCCGCAGGGCGGGAAGCCGCGCTCCTTCAGGAACAGCAGCGCCTCCAGGATCTGCCGCCCCAGGCGCTGCACCTGCCACACCGGCAGCCCCTCGCTGCGCTGCCCGTACTTCTGCGACCAGTCGTCCTGCCACCGGCTCTGAAACACGCAATGCTTTTATGAGAATGCAACGTTTTCACAGCTAGAGATCGCAATATAACTGAAGATTCTGTAGTTGTGTCCTTCAGCCCACGTGACTCTCCTTCCTTCATTCGTTCGTTTGCAGTTGGTTAACAAGTAAATGGCATCGACGCTTCCTTTTGTGATGTCCTCGTCCGACTAAAATACAGTTTGTCAGAGAAATAATTGAAATTAGGAAGTGAATGCTACTGTGCTCTTTAATATTGTTTTTAAAAATTACATTTTACGTTTTGTGTGATAAATTTTATGTTTATTTGAAAACCGAGTCTTGAAAGTCAGTCGCGTAGAGGCGCACGAGTTTCCTACTTCTGTGCGGTAAAGTGGCGAGCTGTGATCGACAACTTTCCGTCGTTTGTGTTTTATCACAGGTAATACACCTTACTGTTGAAGGACAGCAGACGTAGCTCTAGCCATTCCATCTAGACGTAAGCCTGAGATGCAGGCGAGCTCATCTTGTAGATGAGGTCCTTGAGCGAGCCCTTGCTGTTCAAGGGCAAAACGAGGATGACGTAGCTCTAGCCAGACGTAAGACTGAGAGACGAGCGAGCTCACCTTGTAGATGAGGTCTGAGCGAGCCCTTCGCTGTTAAGGGCACAAACGAGGATGACGTAGCTCTAGCACCCATTAGACGTAACCTGAGAATGCAAGGCCGAGTCGACTCATTGTGGAGATGAAGAGGTCCTTGAGCGAGCCTTGTGTTGAGGCAGACGAGGTTTGACGTAGCTCTAGCCACCTCTAGACGTAAGCTGAGATGCGAAGCGAGCTCACTTGTAGATGAGAGTCCTTGACGAGCCTTTGCTGGTTGAAGGCAGCACGAGGATGACGTAGGTCTTAGCATCCACTAACGATAAGATGACAGACGAGCGAGTACTGTAGATGAGGCCTTGAGCGAGCCTGCTGGTGAAGGCAGCCACGAGGTATGACGCTAAGCTCTAGCACTCATGACGTAAAGACTAGAGACGTGAGCGACTTTCACTTGGTAGATGAGGTCTTGAGCGAGCCTGCTGTTGAAGGGAGCACGAGGATGACGTAGCTCTAGCCAGAATAAGCCTGGAGATCAAGCGAGCTCAACCTTGTAGTGATGCAGGCCTTGAGCGAGCCCCTTGCTGTTTGAAGGGCAGCACGAGGTTGAACGTAGCTCTAGCTCCATGTAGACGTAAGTGAGATGACAAGGAAGCTTCACCTGTTAGATAGGTCCTTGAGCGGAGCCGCTTGCATGTTGAAGGGGCAGCACGAGGGATGACCGTAGTTCTTACATTGCCAAGACGTAGCCTGAGATCAAGGCAGCTCACTTGTAGATGAGGGTCCTTGAGCGAGCCTTGCTGGTGTGAAGGGCAGCAGAGGTGAGTGGAAGCTCTACATCCATCTAGACGTAGATGAGAGACACTGCGAGCTCACCTTGTAGATGAGGTCTTGAGCGAGCCCTTGCTGTTTTGAAGGGCAAGACGAGGATGACGTAGCTCTTAAGACCAAGAGCTAAGCTGAGATTGCACGAGCGAGTCACCTTGTAGATGAGTGTCCTTGAGGCGAGCCCATTGCTGTTGAGCGCAGCACGAGGGTTGGAGTAGCTCTAGCTATCCCATCTAGACGTAAGATAGAGGACGAGCGAGCTCACTTGTAGATGAGGTCCTTGAGCGAAAGCCCTTGCTGTTGAAGGGCAGCACGAGGATACGTGCTCTAGCCAGACGTAAGCCTGAGGAGACAGCGAGCTCACCTTGTAGATGAGGTCCTTGAGCGAGCCCTGCTGTTTGAAGGGCCAGCACGAGGTTGAGTAGCCTCTAGCCTAGTTTCCATGCTAGACGTAAGAATGGAGAGACGAGCGAGCTCACCTTGTAGATGAGCGTCCTGAGCGAGCCTTGCTGTTGAGGGATAGCAGAGGATGAGTAGCAATGTCCATTCCATCTAGACGTAACATGAGAGCAGCGAGCTCACTTGTAGATAGGTCTTGAGCGGCCTTTGCTTGTTGAAGGGAAGCATGAGGAATGACGTAGTTCTAGCAGACTAGAACTGAGAGACGGGGATCTCAATTGTGATGAGGTCCTTGAGCGGAGCCCTTGGAGGCAGCACGAGAATGACGTAGTTAGCCAGCACGTAAGCTGAGACGCGAACGAGATACCTTGTAGATGAGGTCTGAGCGAGCCTTGCTGTGAAGGGCACACGAGGATGAGAGCTTAGCCAGACGTGTGAGTGCAAGCGAGTAACTTGTAGATGAGGTCTTGAGCGAGCCTTGCTGTTGAAGGGCAGAAGGAGATGAACGTAGCAATGTCCATTCCATCTAGAAGTAAAAATGAGAGGCAAGCGAGTTACCTTGTAGATTGAGGTTCCTTGAGCGAGCCCTTGCTGTTTGAAGGGAGCAAGAAGGATGACGTAGCAATGTCCATTCCCATCTAGACGGTAACAATGAGAGCCAAGTGAGCTCGCTTGTAGATGAGGTCCTTGAGCGAGCCCTTGTGTTGAAGGGCAGCAACGAGGATGAGTAGTTAAGACAGAAGCATAAGCTGTGATGCAAGCGAGCTCACTTGTCGATGCGGTCGTTGGAGCGAGCCTTGTGTTGAGGGAGACGAGGTTGACGTAGCTTCTAGCTACTTCATCTAGACGTAGAATGAGAGACGAGCGAGCTAACTTGTAGATGAGGTCCTTGAGCGGAGGCTTTGCATGTTGGAAGGGCAGCAGAGGATGCCGTAGCAATGTCATTCATCTAGACGTACAATGAGAGCAAGCGAGCTACCTTGGTAGATTGAGGTCTTGACGGAGCCTGCTGTTGAAGGCAGCTACGAGGATGACGTAGCTCTAGCAGACGTAGGCCTGTGATGCCAAGGATCCACCATTGTAGATGAGTGTCCTTGAGCGAGGCCCTTGCTGTGAAGGGAGCACGAGTGACCGTTAGCTCTAGCTACTCTCATTCTAGACGTAAGAATGAGAGACGAGCGAGCTCACACTTGAGATGAGGTTATGGAGCGAGCCACTTGCTGTGATGGGCAGCCCGAGGATGAGTAGCTCTAGCCAGACGTAAGCCTTGAGAATGCAAGCGAGCTCACACTTGTTATGAGCGTCTTGAGCGAGCTGCTGTTGAAGGGCAGCAACGAGGATACGTAGCTCTAGCCAGACGTAAGCCTGAGATGCAAGCGAGCTACCGTTTGCATGTAGGTCTTGAGGAGCCTTGTGTGCAAGGGCAGCACGAGGTTGACGTAGCCTTACTATCCATTAGACGTAAGAATGAGAGACGAGCAAGTCGACTTTAGATGAGGTCTTGAGCGAGCCTTGCTGTTGAAGGGCAGCACGAGGATGACGTAGCTCTGGCCGGTGGCCTCGCGGAAGTCGAGGTCGAGCACCGGGTAGATGTAGGGGTGCTGCAGGGCGAGGAAGAGCTCGAGGATGGTGGCGCGCGTGGCGGGCGAGCAGGCGAGCGGGCAGGCGGCGGCGCGCGGCACCAGCGTCAGCAGGCGCTCCGTCTTCACGGACGCGTCGCGCACCACGAACCAGTGCTTGTCCACGCGCGACCCTGCGCGCGCAACCGCAACTCATGACCACAACCAAACAAAACCGTAATATTAATTCTACTACTACTGCTACTGCTACTACTTCTAATAATAATACGATTAAGCCGCCCCCGCGGCGCAGACGGTTCCGGTAGCCTGCACCAAGGAGGCTGAAGATTCGGGTCCTGCGGAGTCGTGGTCGTATTTGTGATTCTTCCTTCACCCCTCAAAACCATCCTATATCCTCATTCATTATTCAAGGTGAAACAATCTTTGGTATTATTGGATCTAGTCATAGAAAGCTGATCCCTAAAATTACCCAGGTTAATCCCTCCGGGGCTTCGGAAAATTAGGTTTAACGTGATCATCAATGGCCCATATGCAAATAATAAAAGCGATAATAAAAGCGATAATAATAATAATAATAATAATAATAATAATAATAATAATAATAATAATAAAGTCCCGTGTCATTCAAAACAATGGGAAGTTTAAGACATTGCTCTAGTGGGAACACTGCAATGTCTCTGACCGGGAGATCCTAGTTCGAGTACCGATGGCATCAGGATTTTTGACGCTAACTTATCAGCTAGGTCGAATTCAGTCCCTGTGAGAATTCTAGCGGACGGCTTCTCTGATCGGTAGTTTTTTGTGGTTTTGTGCAAATCAAATATTTTGATAATATTAATATTATTATCATATCAACACCAGGCGAATGATGAGCAGTACCCTAATAAACGGGACACAAACCGCGCGCTATCTTTCCTTCCTCTTCTTTATCTTTTCCTTTCCTTACATACACACACTCATATACACTACACTACCACACATTTCGGGAGACTATTCGGGGGCTTAGGGTTTGTCACGGTTTGGGTGGCGCATGCTGGTGGGAGATACCTGCTTAGGGAAACCCTGTCAACAGACGGAATGTCTTTCATCCAGCGGAGGAAGATCACCGACCCTTCCCGAGGAAAAACACGCACTACACTTAGAGGACTAATGACCTTAGCAGTTGACGCATCTGGAATCATTAACAATAAATAAATCAATATCCTGTCAAATTATTTTTTCTCACATCTTTATTACCCCAGTTGCTATGAATTGCCCCCACAATTTCTCAATTTCCTTCTTTTGTTTATATGTCACCGGATCCATTACTCTACGTGTATAACATCATCCCCCATGAATTCATAACATTCAAAAATCTGTTCTCAAAGAGATTGAATGGATTTCTCAATATGTTTGGGATGTCAAATTCTAAAAAAATATTCATTCATATTATTCAATCCATTGAAAAGGTATGTGGCTGAACAAGAAGAAAATAAAATGAAAAACAAAATGTTCATGTTTCTAGGCAACTCCTCGTAGTCCTTGGTATTACATTTTCAAACAGTCGCAAATGTAATTTGTGGATTGTCACATTAAAAGAAGTAATAATGAGATATTGATAAGATACTTCAAAAATACAGAAACAATAGAGATAAACTACTGAGGTATTTGTTCAATTTGTTTCAACAGACAAAGAGTTAATTATTACGTATATCCTTATGGGCTAGATCTCAATGCGCATGTATTTCTTAGTTACTTTCCCGTCTCTTCTGTCGCTGTCTACTTGTCTAATAGGGGATATTCTATCTACGAAGTATAACAGACGGCAACGTATCAGATTACTGATAAACACTGTTCAAAATAAAAGAAGAAAGTCAACTGAAAGTTAGATTAAAGGTTGCATGTTTCAGGGTAATGTAATTGCAGGTTCACTACATCACAATCACAATGAGCTAAATGAACAAGAGTTGATTTTGAGACGATAATTGAGCAGGGATAATGACGTAAATGCTGATTCGATAACAGCTGGGTTAATTGGTACATAGTATACTTTATAACGAGTCATCTTAATGCAGCACTAGCTGAAGCACCCGACGTACCCCAGGTATTTATTATTATAATTTTCAATTAGAAAAATATTATCTAGAGTGTAAAACTAAAATAAAATTAATTTTATCCCCGCACACTCCGGCTTGCTCCGTCCCTGAACTATAATTAATTGTTAAAACTGGAGCATTACCGGCTTATTGATAACCAACAATATACATAATCTGACCAAATGTTGATTTGCCTATGTATAAAAATAATTACAATCGGTTAACCTTTCTGGAAGGAATCAGCCGTAAAACATAGTTTCTTTGATTTATACACGAGTTGATAGATTGCGGCTCATAATGAGGGAATCAAGTTATAAAATCCTGCATTTTAAAGACTACTACAATTTCAAAAGAAATAAAGAAGTTAATATGAAGATGATTTATTGCTTTTCTAGCTTCTTTTATTTTTATTTTTATTATTATTTATTTTTTAAGGTTCATTAGGTTTCCTGTGACTCTTAACAGGTCATGTTTATTTGGCCTTAAATTACAAAATGAGACCATTCGGATATTCTTTAAACTTTTGGTTGCTACCTGCACTCCTAGAGTGTCAGAAACATTAGATGCTCAATTATCTTTGAAAACAATGATTTTAAAAGCGTAGAATGTTATCATGGATCCATCTAGTCATCAATTTAGAATGGTAAAGACATTTGAATACCTTCTAAAATGTTTCAATAAAAATAAAAAAGTTGTAAAGTGAGCAACTTACATAAGTACCCATTTAACAACTCTGTATTTATATTGATGATGATTTATTTGATATGCTATTTATGAGCTGTATTCAGCTTAAAGTTGAGTTTAATAAATATTCTCAAGTCGGAAACAACACAAGAAAGCCATGATTTTAAATACATAGAGTAGAAGCAAAATATTCACACAAAAAACTGAATAAGACAAAATAGGATGATAATAGGAGAAAGTAAATACACAAAGGAACGTCTTAGTACATTCGGACGATGCGGTAATAAAAACCAGTAACTTAATTTATTTTACGATCAACCATGCAATATCAGAACAGCTTAGAGACGAGCGAATGATACACAGAGTTCAGATAAATAAGTGATAAGTGACGCTTAAAGAAGGGAGATGCATAGAATAGATCTGCGTCGTGTAGAACAATGGGCAGATAAACGAGATATATTGTTGTGAGAACAGACAGAGAGAAAAAAGAACGAAGCCAGGCCACGCGGGGGCGTTGATTGATAACTGATTCTGGGCATTAATTGATAAGGTCATTAGTTCCGTAAGTGTAGTGCATGTTTTGTAAAGCTGGAGGAGGCGGTGATCTTCCCTCGCTGGATGGTGAGATCCGGCGCAGACCTACACAACGGTTGTTTTTTTTCTCCAAAGAAGAATCACCCACCCGCGGGGTTCCGCCTCAGACGGGACAAGCTCTAGGCTCATGACTATTCTTCCGTCACGTGTGGTAGTATTGTGCATATAAATAGAAGGGTGTGCAAGTACGGGGTGAGTATGGAACAAGGAAGAGGAAGGAAAGATCGCGCGCGGTTCATAGCCAGTTTGTTAAAATACTGCACCGGTATTCGCTTGAAATTTTTCGGAGAAACCACGGAAAACTACCGATCAGAGCAGCCGGCGAATAGAACTCTTCTCCAGACAGCGTATGAACTCGACTATGCTGCTTGCGACGAAAATCCTGACACCACCGGGACTCGAACCATACGACCTCCATGTCAGTTGCACAGCAATGACACCAATTGATGCTCTGAGACACCTTAGCTGGACGGACGTGTTGTGATGAGGTCCGATTTGATTGTAGTTTTTTAATGTTAAAAGCAAAAACGTTGCTTGGAACGCAGTACATTTCATGATAAAGTAGTGGAAGTGTGAGATTTTTCAATTAAAAAATTGAAGTTAGAGGTAATTTTGGAAATTCAAGTATGAATGAAGGGTCATATTTCGGATATCCATAGATACAGAATGCGGTGGAGGAAATGTTTCCAGTGGGCAAGGATTTTCGTCAGTAGCCAGCTCAAAATAAGTGACAAAGTTTAAAAGTTGATTAGTAAAGGAGCAAGGCCCAGGATTGAAGTAATTTAAAAGATAAGTAACGTAGTCAATTATGGCCATGAAAGTAATTGCAAGTAATCAAAGAAATGTTGTGCGTCGTTAATTCTGAATAATGTTTTCATTGCTAATAAGAATTAACAAATCATATCCCAATATAGAAATTTATAATCAGATGTCTCGTATGAACAGTGATACTTTAGCTCACATGAACGGAATGACCCTGAGATTCAGTTGCATAATTGTAAAATGAGTTAGCTAACGTGAGACGGGACATTTAATGGTCTGTCCTCGACAGCCTGCTATGAGTCTTAGTCGACCAGCGGTGACCCAGCCTCTCGGCCATGGGATAAGTGTTAGCACGAAGACATCCCTTCGCCGTATATACTGGTCTTCTTAAGTGTAGGGTGGGATTTCTCGTCGTCACACAGCAATAGATTCTGGGACATTTAATGTCGCTTAAGTTAATAAAGAGCAAGACGATACTTCAATGTTATAAAGTAATAATAAAGGGAGACGAAGGGATTATAGAAATATATTCTTATTTAGAAATCTTAGTATGAGATTAGGAGACACGAATCATATGTGTGGCAAAGAATACTATCTGGTGTGTAACAAACATGATTATGTTGTGAATGTTATCTGAATACATCTTTATCAGCAATATACCCCCAAAGATATCCATTTTCATTTTCTCACAATATTACTTATTATCATTATTGAGAAATATTTCCGAAATGAAATGTCAGCAGCGGTCTGATGACTTGAAATAAGATTACAAATTCCATTTCTAGGACAGATTGACAGACCTAAATGAAATAATAGTGCAAAAATGCACACCCAATCATTCGTAATTCAAATTTTATACAGACGCTTGCTCGTGAAAACATGAATAACATGAATAAAAAATACATTTACATGATAAAACACGCGCGCATACGCCAAAATTGGTGCGCATAAAGGGAAATTAGGTTATTATAATGGAACTCATACAAATTTTACTCGCGTATCATTGGATTAACATGATGAA